TTTTTTTTTTTTTTTTTTTTTTTTTTATAACTATTGAATTAAAGTAGGCAAATTTTTAGTTGCAGTTGTTGCTGTTGGTGTTATTATTATTATTACTATTGCTATTCTGTGTTATTATTGTTGTTGAAACTGAGTGAACCTTTTAAAAAGATGCTATTTTTCTACGGTTGCTATTGGAGTTAAGAACAAGTCTTCATCTAAATTTTGTTGTATTTAGAATGAAGAAGCTTTCAAGTTGTTGCACCTCCAATTCGCCTCGGCAGTTGTTTACTCAGATTTGAATGTAACAACGATTTTTTTTTGCTTTTACTGCTACAAATAATAACTAATTAACTGATGATTGCATTTAAGAAAGTTTTTCAACTACTCTGTTCCGACATTATTTTCATCGTTTTTTCTGCGCTTCATTCTGTTTTGTTTTGTTTGTTTTTTGTTTTCTTTATTCTACACGTGTTTTCAGTTATATTTAATTATTTTGCCTTTTTTTTTTTTGTTTCTCTTTGGTAAGAGTCAAGGATGTTTGTTTTTCTATATTTGGATTTATTTTTACGGCTAATTTGTACGCCTTTCCCATGAATTGTCATCATAATCGGGGCGTTTTACAGTCAAATTAATCTGAATATTGCAGTTGGAATTTTTGCAAAAAAAAAAAAAAAAAAATTTGAAAGCATTCATTTGTTCCAAATTTTAGAATCTTCATTAGGTTTGACGAGACGGCGTCATCTTGGAGGAAGCGTCGCGGTGGTGGCGCTGCTATTCGGCATGCACCTCCGATCACCCCAGCTTCTGTACCATCTGCATCGAGCCAAAACCAGGTTTGAATCTATTCAAGTTAAATTTTAAATTGCTGTAAAGTTTTTTATAATTTTCATTTAAAATTTTTTACTGTTAAGATGGTGTAAAAATTTATTTGGCGGTTCAGTTACCAAAACAACAGCTACGGGGTTATTGTTTTGCTAAATTCTCATGAGATTTTTTTCTGGTTGCCACCTGACACTTTGAGAGCCACTTTTCAGTTTATTACATTGGTCAAATCACCACTTTGATTACTTTTTTTTTTTTTATTCTCACTTTTTTGTGTTTTTTCAATCGTTACTATTGTTATTATCATTATTATTATTATGATCAATTACCGTTGTTGTCACTATTGCTATAAACATTATCTCTACTATAACTATTTTCTGGAAAAGGAGAGGGAGATGATGTCTTTTGAATGCGTACTGTTATATTCTTTACCTTGTTTTGTCTTTACAAAACTTTTTAGTTATTGTCTCGATCGGTGGAAAAAATGTTTGAAGAAGCTGAACTCAGTGGTGTTCTTCTACTTACTGGGCGTAAACTTAAAGAATTCCCTCCCGAACTGACTGTAAAATTTGACATCAGCGATCTTATTTTTGCAGGTAGTCGTTTTATTTGGTGTAACCGTTAAATTTTTTGTTTTCTTCTTAGATTGATTAACGACTTTTGTATTGGCTCAAACTCAATTTCTGGGATATAAAAAAGTGAAATAGGAAGAGTCTTAAGAATTTTTGTACTGTAGTTTATTTTATTTTTGAAAATGGTCGTCTTTTTGATATGGAGTACATTTCTTTTAGATTGGTAGTATGTATGCGGAACTCCTTTTTCGTTCAGTTATCTTAATAAGAAATTATTGTAAATTTTTTTACCGCTAATTTCCGAGGAAGTTGGTTGTTGGTTTCAGTGTTAATTACCGACGGATTACAGACTTAAAGACTAGTGTTTTTTGTAGAAATTTTTTTCACGCAGTAGTGGTTTTGACTGTCGTGCAATGATAAGAACTTTTGAGTCACGGTTGCTGTGGGTGCATTCATTATTACGTTTCTGTTGGATGGTTTTTTTTTAATTTCTTTATTAAAGTTGGTATACCTCCTCAATAAGTTCCATTTTCATATTAGCTTTAACATTTCATATAGTTTGCTTCTTAAAACAAGTTATAATACGGCAAGCAAAAGGAGCTAGGAGTTAGACCAAAATGGTTATGCCGTGTTACTGAATTGGTTCTAAAGTCACTTTGCCGTTTTCTAAATTCTTAAATTTGCTAATCTTAATCTTCTTACCTGTTGTTGTTTTTGTTTAGTAAAAGACACTTTGTTCTACTTTTATTATTTTTTTCAGTTTTATACCTTATAGTATAGCTGATTGCTGAATACCTATGTGTATTTAGGATGCCTAGTCTTCGTTTGCTTTTGCAGCTTATTTGCTCATCACCTAAATTCATCTATGCAAACATGGCAGACAACGGTTTTGAGTAACTTGAATACCACCGCAGTAAAATAGCTTATTTATGGGATTTTTTGTCACAAAATAAACTATTCGCTTTAAGTTTAATATTTTGCCTTAAAATTATGATGAATAATAACTATTTCAACAGGCTGTTATGAAGTGTTTGTGAATCTTGTTTTATGGAAATCATTTCCACAACCTAATCTTACAGTTTCTTTTTATTGAAAGCAAACTAGAAATCGTTTACTGAGTTTTCGATCTTTGGAAACAATAATCTTAACGAGTTCTTCTGAGTAGCATTTAATGCATTTAAGACAGTTTTACTAGGGTAAGGACCGTATATAAAAAGTATCTTCTAAGCTTTTTAAAAACAATGAAGTTAAGGGATTCCACACATATTTGATCTATGAAACTTTTGTTAGTTAGATTAACTAATACATATTTTGTTTCAGATCTTAGCGACAATCGTTTGAGCGAGCTTCCGTCGTTTATTTATCAGCTGGGTTCAATGGAAACTTTGCGAGTTCGTTCTACTGGGCTTCGCACACTTCCAAATACCTTTTATACGCTTAGTTCACTTACTTACCTAGATTTAAGGTTTTTCCACTTATTTCATTCTTAAACTACTTTTAAACTTTTGTATGGATATTCATAGAACGCATTCTTTGAAACTTAGAAAGAATCTCTTTCTTAATCAAAAAATTCTAAGCCATGACCTAACGCAAAAATACTATACTTTAAACAGAAGGAAGAAAGGCTCCTTGTTCAGTTAAGGAGAGCTTTTTTTTGTTATCACTTATTTAATATCCCATTTATAGTTGTAATCAGTTGACGTCCTTGCCCATTGGTATCTTTTCGCTTCGGTTGCAAATATTATTGTTGGCAGAAAATAATATAGAACTTTTACCGCGTGACATTAGGCAGTTGGCGGATACTCTTAGCGAACTAGTAAGATTTGAATTTCTTTAATTATGGAGTAATCTGGTAATTTACGTTATTGCTATCATTTTGTTAGTGATGCAGAACTGATCATTATCCGCTTTTGAGCATTATTTCGGTTAGGAATGAAACATTTCCAGGAGGATAGAAACTTAATTTTTTTTGTATCTGTCTTGTTCGTTTCTGGAATTATGCAGTTCAAATAATAGGTAAGTAGGAACAACTGAAATATGTAAACGGAAGTTCAAAGATTTAAATTAAAACAAGTTACAGTTTGTCGCAGCATTCTTCTACTTGGGATTTTTTCGCTTATATTTTTTCTTTAGGATGTAAGTTTTAATCGTTTACGGGCAGTCCCGGTTGATATTGGTTTGTTGAAGTCATTACGAGTTCTTAATTTACGGGCTAATCGTCTCAGCCATTTGCCTTCAGGTAAAACCCAGTCATATTATTCTTTGAAAAAAAACGGTTAGTGGTACATTTATTTTTAGGTAAGCTTTTGTCAAGCAGGTTTTGTAATTCTTAAGCTGTACAGGGTGCTAAAACGCAGAGATCTTCATTTTGATTTCTTTTTCCGGCCTTATTTTCAACGCTTTACTGTTTCTTCTGTATTACTCCACATTTATTCTTTATTTCTTTTTAGAAATTTCACGGTTAGAGTTACGAGAGCTTAATGTTGCTGAAAATCAATTAACGGAATTGCCTTTTGAATTTTACATGCCATCACTTGTCAGCTTTTGTGTTGATGCGAATCCATTCATTTCCCCTCCGGTAAAGGTGTGCTCAAAGGTAAAGATTTCAACAGAACGTTTTTTTAAAGATTATTTTATTTTGTGTTAATGGGTGTTAATAAAGGGACGAGAACACATCTTTAAATGGTTGCGTTCAAAAGCAGCATCAAATAGCGTATATTCGAGACCGGACGAGTGGTTACAAAGACCTGCTTCTGTTTCAATAAACGCGACTATACGACGGCAGAAAGGGTATCACGAAAACTCAGGGTCAGATCCAGCTTCTTAATTGAATAATTTTTTTTGTTTTTATTTCGTACATTAAAGAATTGACTTTTAGAGTGGCTGAGAGCGAAGATGAGTTGGCTTTTAGACGTGCGGATCGCCGCACTCGAGCTACTCGATTTAATACTCTTGGAGGTAGCGATTCAGGCTACGCATCAACTGCTGATGAGCATCGCCTTTCTAATGAGGTAATAGCATTTGAAAGCTAAGGTTGATTGTTTCATGGGAGTAGCGTACTAGGGTCAACGTTGCTGCTGTGATGCTAAAAATTTCCATTCTTCACCGCCCTTTAGCGGTTGGTGGAAAGTGGAGTTTTATGTGTGTTATTTTGCTATGGTCTAAATTAGAAACCATTTTCCTTTCAGTATCAGTCATCAGTTAATAGTGGCAGCCTTTTCGGCATTAACGAATCCTTGCCGTCTCCAACTTCTGATAGAGATTCTCCAAAATCAAATGGCTTGAATTCGTCTGGTGATCGAACGATCACTTCTGAGTGCAATAGCCCCGTAATGGAAAATAGTTCAGGGTTACTGAAAGAAGTAATGTTGGCTTATGCTGAAAAGGTGATTCTGGTCGTTCTGACCCGTTCACTAATGGTGGTCATGGGATTTTAATTGATAAAACAGGTGTATTTGAAGCTGCAGTTTCCTGCCGTTTTGACTGTTAAGAAATTTTTTCAGATGGCTGCTGGGAAGTCTACATCGCCTAGGAAAGCGGGGACGTTTCGGGTTAGGTGTGACAATTCTGAAAATAGCGCATTTGAGGGGACATCTGTTGCCTCTTCACTTGGATCTGTTCCTTCTGCTCCAGCATCAAATCTTCCACACGTTTATCCTTTAACGCGTCCACAAGCAATTGTCACTCCAATGAGCTCCAAGCCGTTATGTGCACAGGCGATGATCAAGGACGATAGCATAGATTTGAAGCCTAGCAGAGTTGATGGAGTCGTTGAATTAACGGATGATGGTCAGGTGATAAAGCGGACTATCGTGGTGACAAACTCAGTTGATGAGGATCTTGACAAAAGTAACAATAATCTCTCCTCGGTTTCGGAAACAATATGTGTCGACAATAAAACACCTAAAACCTTTCATAGCTTTTCACGTCTGAGTAATACATCTGCAGTGCGTCAGATCAGTGAACCTCCAAAAACATTTTTTCCTTTGGGTAGCACAGATGTTGAAGTGATCTATGGCACTCCGAGGCAAAGAACACCGGTGAGAAGGCGCAACGAAACTGTCGAGAACGCTGCAGTTTTATCTCCTGTGATTGAAGTACCCGCAACGCCTGGTAAGCTTCACCAATCGGCTTCAGATATACTTCACTATTTTATAATGACTTTTCGACGTCTTTAATGAGGCTTAGAGTTCATAGTTTTGTGCAGTTCAATGATAATCACTTCATATTTTTGCTAGTAATTTAGAAAATGGCAACTTGGTTCAAGATTGTTGTGCCTGCCCAACAACATGTGTAAACCCTTCATCATCCAGTTCGGTTGCTACGACTGTTTCTTGTAATTCAGCTGCTGAGAGTGTTTCTTCAACTGTTAAGGTGAATCGGAGTTTGTGGTTCCGCAGTCAGTTAATGCTTGTTATTAGACTGTGTGGGAAATACTTCATTCGGAGATTTTGCCTCATTGGAGCGTTGAAATTTAAATCGATAAAAACCCTTATTTAGATGCCTTCTACAAAAACAAGTAAAAGTACGTCTGGGTTTGTTGGGACGACACTTCCTCATTCGTCCTCCTCTAGTGTAAATAGAACATCTAACACGTCCGCAAAGAGTGCTGCTCTCCGGAAGCCAATTGCAGCGTCACATGGAGTTTCACGTATAGTGCCGACAGCACCGGCGCACATTTCAGTGACCACAGCGTCCCGAACAAGTAGTTACCTGAGATTTTACCCTTAGTTTGTTAGGACTCAACTGGTGTACAAAAAAAGTAAACGAGTGTTTTAAGATAAATTTTCATATCTTAGGCGTAATTTTCAAAATCTATTGTAGAAGGGTCAAAGCTGGCGAAAGCGCGTGATAGTATTGGAGTGACAAAGGGCCATATGGCTAACAATAACAACAATGCAGTACGAAGAACGACAGTGTTATCATCTCGGGCACAAACTGATGACAGTAGTACAACTGCTACAACAAGTGTTAATACTTTAGTTGCAAGGAGAAATATTGATAGCATGCGAAAGGTAAGTAGGGGAAAATTTTTACTTTTATTGACAATGGCACTGGTTTTAATTTTATAGTTGTAATTGCAGGCTTTGGAAAGTCGGCTCGAGACTACTTTGCCAAGCGAAAGAGAGGAACTTGCAGCGTGCATTTCTGATGGCATCATGCTCTGTAATTTTGCCAATCGAATACGCACGCGGTGCATCCCCACGATCTTATCAGCAACTTCGCAGGTTCGCTCACAGAAATATTTTTAAAATTAACTGTTCAGTTCTGACTACTTGAATAAAATTGTAACTCAAAACCGAATGTTGATTTCAAGTGAAAACATTTTGGAGGAAAAAATAAAAAGTAATTTTTTTAGTTAAGTATAGATTTGGTTGACGAAACATAATTTGCTCAAATTTTTTTAAGCGGATGCAGTTTTACATTATGAGTTAAATGGCCATTTTTGAAATATTTTTCCTCTTTCAGACTCCGTTGTCCTTGCCGAAGTGTCGTCGTAATGTTGACAATTTCTTATCAGCCTGCCGCAGAATCGGTGTTGCTGAGGTACCAATTATTGCTTTCTTTAAGTACTTAAACTAGTTAGTGGAACTTTACAAAGCGGTTAAATAAGTGTTCTCTGCTTCAGAGTTTTTTGCGGAAAAAGGTTTTTTTCGGATAAACTCAGAAAAGTGTTTTTTGTGTTATTAGTGTATGGGTATATTGATGGTGTCAAAACTATTTGAACACTGCTGTTTAAAATTTTTAAGCAGATGGTTTTTCTGCGTTCTTGTCTTGTGTAATTGCTATTCCTGCTGTAAAGTATTTGCAGTATTGGTTGCATAGTCAGTGTTCTGAATGCACTGTTTTAAATGTTTTCTAGCCGAAGATTTTACTAGGCATGTTTATGCAAGATTTGCTGAGTTCAAAGCGTATTACAGACGGGTTGCGATGCAAACGTTGTCGTCCACTAACGAAAGCTAGGTTATCGGTTTGGCACATTCTAGTGGCTCTTAACTACTTTCTAAAAACCAGAAACTTTTGTAGTACTAATGATACGTGTAGAAGGCTTTCCTGAGCGCAACGATTTCTTGCTATCTTGACATTGTGAAAGCATTTTTGCCATTTTTGAGAGGCTGCACACGCTTTTACGAGAAAAACTATTGCTATCAACGTTTTTATTGCTTGTGCTGTGATATCGCACAACGTTTTAGTTATGCGGCGCATGGCTTTCTATGCAGTTGAAGCTGTCCTTTGGGTCCTTCTCTGTTTTTTGTTTTTATAACAGTTTCTTAATTGCTTATTTTTGGTACCCTTCTAGGATAATATTTTGAGTTTGAACACTACTAACAATGGTTAAGGATAATTTTAAGAGTTTTTTGGCTAAATGTTCATACCTAAGCTGTTAACACTCGCTTAGCACATCATCTGATGCTTTGCTTACACGGCTTTAATTTCCTCTTTTTTCCTATAACAAACTTGCATTTAACGCTGAAATCCCATCGGGTGCTTCTAATCAGTTTAAGCTTTGTAATTAATTGCAAAAGCCGCTAATAAAAGTACCTTACAATTAATGAACATGCATTATGAACTATTTTCTGAGACGGATTAAGAAGGACTGTTATGTATCCGGCCGCTTTCAGGTGCTTCGTGAAATAGCCTACAATAGCGAGAAGCGACTTGCCGTTATGCTGTTAATCGTCTTCGTCACTTTTTTGTGCTTTACTATCATCCACCCATTCTGACCGAAGCATTCTTTTTGTTTATGATAAAAGTTCGGATATAATGGGTTCCTATTCTTTTGCTTGCCCATAACGAATAACTGGGTTTAACGTTTAGTTGTTTTTTTTTTCATATTTTTTCTTAATTGCTCAATACTTAATAAAATTTTTGGAAATGAAACCTGTATATTTTGTTTTGATTTTTTGTTTCTTTTATTTGTTAGAATGCCGGTCTTAGAAGCTCACAGTACATGGCTAACATAATACTAGTTGGTTTTTATTATTGGGTATTCAACATTTTTTTAAAGTTTTTGTGTATATTTTTTTTCTTTTTTCTTTTCACTTTAAAAGTAAATTATTTTGATTAGGAACGGATCTAGTCCTACGTCGTTGTTTCTGTGAATTCAAAGTTAACAGTCAGTTTTTTTTTAGCTTACTGATTGCTTTAGTGACAACTGTTTTCTTTTTTGGTTCTTTAACTGTGGTGATAATTTTTATTGCAGAAATGGTATCATTTGAATTTACATCGCTAAATTCTTTTTTGTAGTTCGTTATAAAGTCTAATTAGGTTGGCATTTCTGTTAATAGCTTTTTCCCCTTGTTATGGGTGTTTGTCGTTTGCGGTTTCTCAGTGTCTAAAGTTCCTTGTCTTCAGTTTTTTTTTTGTTTTGTTTTAGAATTTGTCACTGTTGTTGTATTTGTCTGCCCTACTGAGCAGGAAATAGCTTTTTTCCTTCTTTTTTACTTCAACATTTTTTTGGAATATAATTTAAAAGAAAAAAACTGTAATAAACTCGTGTTGCTTGATCTGAAACATTGATCTACAGATGTATAACGAGAAATAGACTTCATTTTCGAACAAAATTTGTCAGCCGTGTTAGTAGTCGTTGCCAATTGTATTTTTTCTGAACATCAACAAAAATTCTGCTCATGATGGTTAATAAGCTGTTGATTCTAAATGAGAATTATTATTGAAGAAACTGTATACAGAGAGCTTGGAGGGTAGCTACTACGAGCTAAATCTCTGTATGCTCTCTTGAAGCAGTTTCTTTTCCTTGAGCTCCTTAGTTTATATCTTTTTTTCTTGCTCCTGGAAATTTATTAATTTCAGAGTTTGCTTTGCCATGCTACTGACATAATGGAGAAAAAGAATTTAAATCAAGTTGCGAAGACGGTGCTTGCCCTGAACAAGTTTGCTCCGTACTCATCACTTCGAACAGAAAGTAGGCGAATTACGAACGTTTGAAAGCTTAGCAAACTGTCAATTTTTCTTTTCCTTATATATATCCTTTTTTTGATTTTTGAGACTCATTTACGTTTGATGGTGTTTAAGCTTTACTTTAGTTAAAGTGAAGCAGTTTATAGGACGGGGAGGAGTGCGAGTTATTTTTGCGTAGCAGAGTCATGTTGATTTATGTAAAGAATAAGAATAGAAAATTTGATGGAATAAAATTTGACGAAAAATGAGATTTATTGCAGCAACTGTCTCATTTGTTTTACATCTCAACTTGTCTTCCATGACTTCATGACGAATTTGACAAGAATAGAAGTTTTCTTGTTGGTCATTCCACGTTCTTTTCCTTTTTTTCTTATAAAGACTACTTCAATATGTTTGTATAGTGAAAGTGTTTACTTGTAATCTAGAGATTTTTGTTAATCCTTTCTATTTGCAACTGATGAACGTGTGATAATCTCTTTTCGTTTCTTTTACGTGTTTGAATTTTATTGTTATAATTGTTGTGTTCATTCGAAGTCAATGAGGTATTTTGACGTTGAGGTTTACATCATGTTATTGAATTTGAAGTTGTACCACACTACTTCCTCAACTCGTGTTTTGCTCACTAGTGTAGATAGAAGGTGGGAAGGATCTTATGGCTTTTAACTGTCATTGATGACATGAGTTGGAGAGTATTGATAAAGTAGGAAAATTACTTCTTGAAAGAATCAAAGTTGCAGTAAGTTCCAAGATAAGTTTTTTTAAACAAGTTTTTTGCATGTCTGCTATTTCTTATTTTTGCTCGTTGATATCTTCTCATCAGAATAGCTGAAATTTTGTCTCGCTAATGAGTAGACTATTTTGTTTGCTAGATGCGACTAAAATCGGTTTGATTGCCTTATTTAAAAGAAGAATGCCCGAGGGTTTTCCAGGTATAGTTAGTCTGAGAAGTATTGTGCAGTTCTTGTATATTCATCGGCGGTCTTTATTCAGTTAAACAGTTTTTTG